TGCTCGAGGGGAGTGTCGCACAGCACCTGGCCGGCCCTTACCTCTGAATCTGAGTGCACGACAGCATCCCAAGATCTTCCGTCGTGCTCCTCTTTTCCGCCCGCACTACGCACGACGCGCAACGATGCAGGTGGCAAGCGCACCCCAAAGGGAAGGAAGGGGGGGAGCATTCCGATCGCGCGCAATGCCCCCGCCCCCGGGCCGCACTGCAGACGCGCAGACGAAAGCGGGAGCTTGCACTTGCAGTGGTGAGTGCGACTCAGACTTGGGCAGCCAAGGATGCAGATGGAAAGCCATTCAAAGTGCGTATTAGTGCGCCCGCACATACGCTGTTCGGCGTCGATGGTGGCATCCATCAGCGCCGAGCGGAGCGCGACGTCGACGTGTGGCCGCCCGCCTCGTGTTGATCCGCTGCCGCTGCCGCTGCCGCTGCGAATGTTTGCCCCGGCGTTGTGATGCAGTCAGCGAGGACGAGGAGGGATGGGAGCAGGCCTCGGACTGGTAGCGTGGTCTGCGCAAAGCCATATCGCGTGCGCGCCCCTTTTGCCAACTCTCGAGTTGAACATCCAAAGCGTCGACGAGGTGCTCTGATTTGCGCGCAAAAGTGGCGACGCGATCGATACGGGGCGCACGAGAGAATGTGTGTGTCTGCGTGGGCAAAGGGCGGGGCGGGGCGGGGCGTTGAATTGTCTTGTGCTTGCGCTCCAAATTTGCTCCTCCGAGCAACAAAGTCGAGTGAGAGAGATGGGTCAGCGCGGCAGACAACAAGTCGATCATGTCTCTGATGGCCTTTCAGAGGGGACGCGACGCGAGGCTATTTGCTTTTGCTGCGGAGATGTTGTGCGCAAGAAAGGGGGGACCGTGTGTTGATGTTTGGCACGCAGCACGATCCTGGTCAGACTCGACGCTCGCCTTCTTACTCACCCTTGCATCTTTCCTTCTTGCTCCAGACTGTCCCCGCTCTCGTCATTCTCGTCCCCTGCTACAGCCGATGGGGTCTGACCTATCGTTAGCTCTGCGAGGATCAGTAGCGCGGGCGCGGGCGCTGGCGCTTGCGGTGCAGAACCGATGAAAACATCCTTGTGCATCTTACCTCCCCCTCTCCATCCATACGGTGCGTCAGAGATTCGCAATACTCGCACGACGCTATTGAATCCTGCCTTGGTGCCTTGACAAACTGGGTGCGGTGCACCAGGGTGGGTCAATCTGCGACCTCGCAATCACGTGAATCAAGAATTTGAATACTTTTGACTTTTACAATCAAAATACCCCGGCCTCGATTTGTGCCGTCGTACAACGTGTAATCTTGAAATCGCTCGCTGGTCACAGCGCATCCAAACATCCCCCTCGTCGCTGGTTCTCGGTTCTCGCGACTTTTGTCGACCGGAAGAGATCCTTGTAGGTCGGTGTCCCAGCTGCAGTACTCGCCAAGATCCTTGCGTGCGAGACTTGAAGTCAAAGGTCAGGTCTAGAGTTGTGAGTCTGAGTAAAGAAGAAATCGACGCTTGACTCCTAGTGTCACGTGCCGTGCACGCGCACGCGCACGCGCACTCGCATCGCCAATATGCAGATAAGTCATGCACATACCTGACATCTCTCTCTCTCTCTCTCTCT